TCTTTTCCTTCTTCCAGCATGAGATTCCTGGAGTAATTTGAATTTCTTCGGCAGTTACAGTCCCATCTGCATCTTGTTCTCATGTATCCCCTGTGCTGTGTGACTGTCTTCCTACCTCTCCATTCCGGCTATGACCATCTGGAAAGTGAAGAATGTATGATTTCTGTCCTAAGGTGTTCATTCACTCATCCCTCCAAAAGTGCCTACTTGTGCCCTGGGGTGAAAGTCTACAGATGCCCTGCAGAGGTGCCGCCATCAGTTATCCAATCAGCATGCAGATGTGCCCATCATCTACCAGAGCTTTATGCAGTGAGTGCAAAGGGCTTTATGCTCAGAGGAAGTCCACACAACTCCCAGGAAGTGTGTCAGCTCTGATAATGGCTTAGCTGCTGGATTAAAACAGGCCTGAATATCAAACCTAGTCTCTTACAGTTCTCCCTCCCCATTGTCCATATGTCTCTGTCTTGCTTGCTTTCTCTTCCCTTCTCTACCTCTGTCCCTCTCTCCCTAAGTTTGGAGAAATTACCGATTACTTAGAAATCCATACAGACTTCTGTATGCAGTAAAGGAAATTGTTCCAAAGCCCAGAACTCAGGATGGGCCATCTATACAGTTTAGCAGCCAGGGCCTTAAAAAGAAAACAAAACACCCATGCACAGCCACTGAGTTCAGTTTTCTTTTGACTGGTTTATTTGCTTACTGGAGACAGTGTGCCTCCCCTGCCCTAGGAAGAAAGAAGGCCAGCAGAGATAGAAGGCTGAGAGCCACCATTCAAAGCCCTCTGCACACCTGAACTGGAAATGCCCACTCCATTGTCTCTGGCAGTACAGAGACAGACAGCTGGACTGCTGATGAGTCAGTTACTACCCCAGGCTCACCTCTGGGCCTCTGGTCTCCACAATACCCCTACAGATCTGCCAGGCCCTTTCTTGATTTTCTGCCTTGTGTGTGTGTGTGTGTGTTTCCTAATAGTAATGCCCTTTGATCACCCAGCTCCCTGGACCCCAGCTTCTTCTGGACTCTTCTTGAAGGATGGGCTGGATCCCTTGAACACCCACTAGTCTCATTCCTACTTACTGACCATACTCTGGTGACCTAGTCACATATCAGGTCTGTGACCTAAATGCAACAGGCCATGTTTCTTTCATTTTTGTGTCTCAGCACTGAGCTACACATTATACCTGCATTCCAAGTCCATGCAACATCTAAAGAGTCCAGCAGCCCTCTATTAATAGACCAAAATGCCTCTTCACACACCAAACAGGATTCTCAGCAAGTCCAATGGCAGGGTGCATTTCATGAGGCTAGCAATATACCCATGAGAGCTACCCATGAACACTGTCAATAAGATGTGATATCACAGGCCCAAATACCTGGTACCAACAAGCCTAACACTTCCACCCACCACATTGATCAGATTATCTTCTGGGCCAGACTATTAAAACCTTGTTGTAAATACAAAAGAAGCCCAAAGACCTTAAATATGGATTTTCTTCCAACCTTTAATACACTGGGGAAATTCATTTCTCAGATCAGCAGCAAGGAAAAAGACCTAGAAGAAGATAATGCTAAGTAACAACAGGAGTCTAGGGTGGGAGAGGCAGGCAGTGCTAAATAGAACCCACAAGTTCTCTTAGACCAGGTTACAGAAAAGTTGGCACCCTGTTCCACCTTGTGAAGCAGTCCTCACCAGAGTGCTTCCCTGACCCCTGTAAACTGAGTGCATACACCAGGAGACCTCACTCCATTAAAGCTCGGGGAACGTTCTGCCAGAACAAGCAAACTCTGTGTAGGACAACTGAGGAGGCAAGAAGAGTGCACAAATGTGCAAGTATTTGTGCAAGGCAGTCTGGCCCAACAGAGCAAATGGCCCAGGGACCACAAAGGAGGGAACTCAGCTTTCAAAGCTAGGGCTGCTGTGAAGTAAATAGGATTCTAAGTTGGTGAAGTGACAGGCTATAACCTAGTATCCGGTGTCACACAAGGAATCAACAACTGGTTCCAAACATGGTTCTCCAGTACCTCATGATGGGCATATAAATCCCTTAACAGTTCCCTTTAGTAGCTAAGTGTCCTTTGTAAACCGTAGAAGGCATATTCTGCCATACTCTGCATCTGATCATGTATAAGGTAAAGAGACAACATGCATTCACCTACTCTCACCTGTCATTGCTTGGTTTTACCAGTACGCATGTGCATACTGCAAGGACCACAAACTTGGTAGAGACAAAGTTGGGAAGTCCCAGAGTTCCTTACTCCATGCTGAACCTCTCTCCTCCAGGTGGGAGTGTTAACTATACTCTTCTCTCCCATCCCCAAAGACAAAGGAAAAGGAAGAGTTGCCAAAAGAATAGCACAGTCTTGGTTTGTAAGTATGGTACAGGGTAAAAAAGGAAAAAATGATGGTTTAGGCTCTCGTTACTATATTCAACAAACCTCAGCTCACATTACCTGTTTATACAGTGTATGTTCTGAAATTCAGATGTTTTTGTGAATGTGACTGGCCAAACTCTGTGCCTTCATTCCTTTGTCTGGGAAGTAGTCATAATACCAGCACAAACTTTAAAAAGGCATTGTAAAGATTGAGTAAAAACTCAAAATGCTAAGCTTGAGCCACAAAAAAGCAGAGAGAAAGCACTCAGTATTAAGATGAATGGTTATCTTATGAGTTAGTCACACTATTCTGCAGAGAAAGCAAACTTTCTCTTTTCCCTCTTTTACCAATAAGTCTTTTAGAGATTCTGAGTTCACTTGCTCAAGGTCACAGAGTTTGCCAGTGACAGAGCTGGAATTTGAATATGGACAGCAACATCCAAAGCTTAGTGCAAGTTTAGCAGGCACTGTGAGCATGGGCCTATGCAAAGTTCTAGGTATGTGGATTTCAGTGGCAAGGTGAGCTAGGGGTCCCTACTAGGTGCTATAAATTCTAAAAGTGAGATACTGAAAAAATGGGGACTAGAAAAGGCTTCATTCAGAAGGGACTTGAATTCTATCCCCCTCCCCAAAATGATGAGGTATTTGCCAAGCCATGGGGAGGAAGGTCAGGCCTCAGAATACAGAAAGGGCAATGAGCTGGAATATTTCAAGTTCACAGAGGAAGGACTAGAAGGTGAGGCAGGTGGGTGGGGAAGTCCAAGGCTTGTGTGCAGGGGCACAGCTTAAATTTCACCATCTAAAGGCAGATTTGTGACCATACAGAAAGAAGGGTTACTGTTAGTGCTTATCAAACACACGCAGATCCAGGTCCCTTCTTTTAGCAATGGGGAACCAACAAAGGTGTGAGGCAGCAAGGCCCACTGGGGATTCAGCAATGAAATTCTGTCCCTGGGAATGGGAGAAGGGAGAGACATGCGGACAAGAGCTGGTGTAGTTAGCTAAACTGAAGCTGATAATAGAGTTAGAAATAATGGCTCTCTCTCTCTCTGTGAATTGAGAGTTAAGCCAGGGTGACTCAACACAAGCACTAATAACAGTTTGGGCCAGATTAACTGCCCTGTGGAAAGGGGACTATCCTGTGTATTAAGCTCTATCATACCAGGTGAATGGCATCCTCCCTCACATTGTGATGGCCAAAAATGTCTCCCAATACTATACCAGACATCTCTTAGGGGGCAAATTTTAAACCTCAGTTGAGAACATTTGCTTTAAACTCTACTATGGCTACTTTTATTCTTGTTGATGTGGTTTTTTTTTTTTGGTTTTGGTTTTTTTAAGACAGGGTCCCACCTAACTCAGGCCCACCTCAAATTCACTATGTAACCAAGAATGACCTTGAACTCCTCATCCTCTGCTTCCACCTCCCAAGTGCTGGGATCACAGATGTGGGCTACCACATTGTCCATCTCTACTTTTCACATGAGAAAATACAACCACAGAAAGGCATCTCCCAGGATTCAAAGGCTGGTGGTCTGACCCCAATGCCTGACTTCCTCACCTATGGCAGAATTAGAGCTTTGACTGCCTGGATGACAGGGAGGGGTTAAAAGAGTGACATTGAAAGGTAGACCCCTAGGGCCCACTACGTTCTTTGCACTGAGCTGGGGCTTCTGGGCCAGGATGACAACAGGCACTAAATAAATAGTTTGGGTTACAATGGAATCACGATGATTTCTATAAAAGGAAAAAGCCTGGTCTCCCCGGGTATGAGCAGCTAGGAGGCGGTGGATTCTTGCTCAGACTGGACAGAGGAACCATCTGTAGGGCTGGACTTAGGGTGTGCGATACTGACCAGGTAGGTTCCAAATCCAAGTTGGGCCCTTTCCAAACTCCGTCCCTCATTTCATTTTGCCAGTTTGTAAAATAGGGACAAGAGTTCCTGCCACAGGCTTGATGTTTGAATCCCGGGAGCTTAACTAAGAGCAAACGTGAAAACTGCTCAAAGCGCTCGGTCCCTGTCCCTTCCAAGCCTTCCTTGCCTCCAGGACTTATATCTGTGCTTCCTTCCACTCTGGAGGTTGGGACCCCCGGGATGAGCGCTGCGAGTCTAACTCAACCCATCTCCACCCTGAGAACGTCCCAATTAAGGCTTTAGAGGGCGCCAACCGCCTTTTCACTCTGTAGTCCACTCTGACTTTGGGGGCCCGGGGTGGTCGCCAAATGGCTCTGAGGGGAGCCAGGTAAGCATTTCTGCGCCAGGCGGACTTCAGGTGGGTCAGTCTCGGGCAAACCCAAGGTCAAACCCAGTCACTAAGGGCTGGCCACTCAAGCCTGTTCCCAGAAGCGGAGCAGCTAGTCAAGCACCCAGATTTGGAAAGCACTGTCTCCGAAGCGAGCTGCGGATGCAGGCAGCTGAGAGTGGTTTGATCCAGTCACAGAGGACTTAAGAGGTTGGAAACGCCGCGGGGACCCAGGTGAGAGAGGAGGCGAGAAAAGAAAGCAAAGCAGGACCCAGGCTGACACCTGGTTCTGAAACAAAGCGGCGGATCGGGATCCGAAGAGCCCTGGGGGTGCCCGAAGTGGGGGCGCTCCGGAGAATGGGGAGCTCGGGGAGCGCAGCTTACCTTCGTGGGGACCCAGGCGCGCACTTCCGGGGTCCGAGCGGGGGGTGGGGGTGACCCGGAGCGGATCGCCGATCACCCAAGGACGGAGGCTGCAAAGTGCTGCTCTGGACTCAGGCTTGGGCAAAGCGCACCTCGAAGAGAAATCCGGGCGGCCCTCCTGGGTCAGGGCTGAGCTGCGGACTCGGGACCCGGCCTCAGAACTCCCCGAGCCCGGCACACGCTGCAGGAGCGCGAGTCCGTGGGAGGAAAATGTCTCATTTCCTTCGGTCTCCCCCACTCCTCCGCCCCTCGGCTCCGGACCTGCCCTCCCCCTGCTCCCCGCCCCCTTCCCGGAGCCCGCGGCCCATGTGGGCGCCGCGAGTCGCGAAACCTGAAGGGCTGCAGAGCTCCCGGCGCCAACTTAGTTCACTCTGGCAACTCTGGCCGACCTCCCAGGGCTTCCCACCCTCCCGGGAGCCACGAGGTTCCCCATCTGCGGTCCTCACCCTACCCAGAACCTCCAACCTTTACCACTTGCTACAAGGAGGCTAAATCTGAAAACAGGCCTCCAATGCACCGCCCCTCCATAGGTCTCTGCCAGGGGGACTGCATTGAGCCTGCTTTAAAACCCCCAGTCCAGACAGGAAATAACCACTTACTTTGTTATATTTGATCGACTTTTTTTTTCTGAGTGGACAGCTTAAAGTCTGATACATAATCTCCAAGGAATGTTCATTTGTATTGGAAAGACAGCCATTGAAGCATGGTTTGAGGTTTTGTTTGTTAAACTCAAGTATTTACTGAGCTGCTGATGGGCACTGAGCTGGGTGCTGCAGAAGTTGAAACACAAACACCTGAAGGCATCCTACTCCTAGACAGTTACTACAGGTGAATGGGACAAAGAGAGGAGAGGACCAGGGTCTTAAGACATGGTCAAGTGGAAGAACTTTCTGTGCAGTGAGTGCAGCCTGGACAGAGGCAGAAAAGAATGATAGTTTCATCAAGAGGCCATGCAGCCTTGCACAGAGCCTGGGTGAGTGATGGGAGAAAGAGGGGAACAGGGAAGAGAACTGCCCTGCCAAACCAAGAAAGGACAGGCCTGCCTGCCAGGAACTGCCTGCCAGGAGTCCTGAGATGGAGCCAGAGCAGCAGCGCACAGAGCATGAAGAGGAAGAAAGACTGGAGATACAGAGTAAGCAGGGACCAAATGGGAGATCAGAAACCCAGGTCTCCTCGGGAGCTACTGGAAGTGTGATCCATGAAGGGCCACAGTTCCTATTAGACATAGAGACTCTCTGCTTCCTCTTGACCTGCTCAACAGGGAATCTGCATTCTAACAGAATCTTCCGATTCAAGTACACTTTAGTATTATTTGAAAATATTGCTTTTTAGACCATTAATGGTACGCTAGACTGAATACGTCTTAGACTGCGGAGTCCTGGCTGTACATTAAGAACCGTTGGTGAGCTTCAAAGCCCAGGAGGGGCCCAGCTGCACCCTCACAAATATTTAATTGGTCTGGGGAGGAGCGCCCATGAATATTCCTGAAATGCTCTCTTGGCTATTCAATACAGCCAGAGTTGAGAACTACCGTTCTACATTTGTTCAACAGGTGCTTGATTTACCCTTGAAATTCAACTCTTCTTAAAGTAAAACAACACCCAGGGGCTGAGGACAATGTAGACCAGTTTATTCTGTTCTCATACGTTCTCATCGTAGTCGCAACTGGTGAGGTAGAAAGGGCCCTTGCTTCCTTGGTGCATAAAGGACCAGGTTCTAGCCTCAGACAGCCGCTAAATAACAATCTGAACTTGAGTAAGGCCCCTTCCCTCAGAGTTCAGTTTTCTTATCTGTAAAGCGCACAGACACACACGCGCCCACACATGCACTTGACCAACTCCAAATTCCACACCCTGGCACTCAACATGCTCCCCATAACTGGCCGGCTGTATCAGCAGGCAGATGGAGAGGCAGCACAGAGGTTTCATAACCTAATGCTGAGTATACACCCACCCAGGGCACTCCATGCACAAATTCCTGGGATCACAGGTTTGACCCAGGCCACACATGTAGCTGGTACTCAGTAAATGTGTGTGGGATGTAGGAGTCAGTAGTTGCTGGTAGGTGAGCAGAGGCTTTCTCTGGAACCATTTGGCCTCAGACTGTTTTATGGAGATTTGACTCCAATCCAGAACCTATTCATTTATCTCCCAGACTAGAGACAGGACTTTGGAAGTTATCTGACCCTATCTGGCTTTAGATATAAATCTACTATTACTACTAAGAATGTTGAATACTTAGAACAAACTTGGGTCTATTAAAACATTGCCTCATGTCATGAAAATGAAGCAGATGCCTTTGAACCCTGGTTTTCAGGGGCTTTTGAGAATCCCAGGTATAGAGAGACTAAAAATGCTATCTGGAATAACCCTGTGTCTCTTGTTAAGCAGCAGGACACAGGTGCAACTGCTGGCCAGAGAGCCCCCTGGGGATCCTGTAAGTCATTCTCTAAAGCATGAGTCTTTGCATGGGAATGAACTTCAGGGAGCCCCACCAGCCCACAGTTCTACAGAAGCAGAAGCTCCTAGGAGCTAAGTCAAAGAATCTTCGGGCTATGATTGAATCTTAGGAAAAGAGTTCTCAAAAGCTCCTGGCTTCCTGGTATATATGATTGAGGGTAGGGGAGGCTTGAATGTGGGCAGATCACACCGTCATGCATGATGTATGAACTGCCTGTAATGAGGGCCTCCAATGCCAACTCCTAGGGATGCAAAAGATGTGGGGAGGGTGGGAAGGGGTCTGGGTTCATAGCATAGAGCTCTGATTCCAACCAGAAGAAGGGAAGTAGACCGTGGAAATGGTTTGTCCTGGGAGCTCAGGATGCAGAGTCCAGGTTGAGGGCTGTTCTCTGGGTCTCTCATTGTGAACTGCCTCACTTTTGTATACAGGGGATGCCGACAGGCTGGAGCTCCCTGCATAAGGTACAGGGCCTCGAGATCCCAGTTTGAAAGCAGGGGACTACCATCCCTCACAACAGTGTCCCAAACAACAGTACAAACAAATTTTGAAGAAAATCTTGAGCCCTGGAATCCCTTCAGCTCCCAGGGAGCATGGTAATTCAGCACTCCTTGGGCAGAGGTTGTAGCATTCTCTTGGGGCACAAACACTGAATGACAACATCTGGCAGAAGAGAAGCTATGTCCCCCCTCACTGAGCCCCATGCCTACTGTTTCCACTTCTAAAGCTCTGTTTACCTGACAACAATTTGGTAATTTTACAGAAGTGCATTGTAGCAAATTCTTACTAGTTTTTGCTTCAAAGGATACAATCTCAGAGTCAGATGTGGTGACTCAATCCTGTAATTCTAGCATATGGGAGGCTGAGGCAGGAGGATTGACATAAGTTTGAGATTACTGGCCTACAATGTGAGCTCCAGCATGAGACGCCATCTCAAAAAAAAAAAAAAAAACAAACAAACAACAACAACAACATAAAACCTCTGGGCCCACAAGATGACTCAACAGGTAAAGGTGCTTGCTGCCAAGCCTGACAACTCGAGTGCAGTCCCAGAACTCAGTTGACAGAAGGAGAGAATTGATTCCCTCAAGTTGTGCTCTGACCTCCATGCACACACATGGGTGCACACACACGCACATACAAATAAAAGTAAATAAATGTTAAAAAAAAGAAAAACCCCAAACTCTGACCTGAATTGTCTTCATTTACTGAAAAAGACCATGACACAAATCTAAATATGGAGGACAAAACACAGCTAAAACTAAGGTAAGCCCTATAGACCACTGAAATATACTCCAAGCTGATGCCTGGCTGAGGAGCCCACAAGAGGCCTGCATTGAGATACATCCATAGCATCCTCACCCTGAATCATCTGGTACTGTGAAGGATATTCACCTGTCAGTGCAAATCAGCTTGCCTGTCACTTCCTGAACTGCCTGTCTGTCACAGGGAATTGTTGTGGTCACCCAAAGCAACATCACTGCACATTACACTCAGGGCTTTCCCGAGGACAGGAAACAAGGTGGGATCCAGACCAGAAAACTGTGTCTCAATCTGTTAGGGTAGACCTTTTAAACAAATACACCTTTGTGGGTAATTAATGTGTGCAGCCATGTTTGACAGCTACTTTTGTAGGCAGAGGGAAAAAAATCTAGGGCTTCAAAGGCAAGGAACTTACACAACAGTGAGGAACTGTATCTGATAGCAAATGACTTGTGGGAATCATCAGAAAGAGGACATCAAAATCAGCCCACTACCCAAGGTATGTTAACACAACACCAAACTAGACATGGCAGTACATGTCAATAAGACCAGCACTCAAGAGGCTGAAGGAGAAGGATCACTGTAAGTTCGAGTCCAGCTGGGCTACACAGTGAGCCAGCCTCGAAAACATGGGGAGAGCCTGTCCAAAAAAAACACTAAACAAGAGCCGGGCGTGGTACAAGCCTTTAGTTCCAGCACTTGGGAGGCAGAGGCAGGCAGATCTCTGTGAGACAGAAGCCAGCCTGGTCCACATAGTGAGTTCCAGGAGGACTAGGACTAGGGAGACCTTGTCAAAAAAACAAAAAAACAAATCCGTGCCATGACACTGTCGTAGTTTCTTTTCCTGTTGCTGTTACAAAATGACAAAATACCCTGATAAAAGCAACTTAAGGGAGAAAAGGTTTATTCTGGCTCACAGTCCAGGTCACAGAAATCACAGTTGCAGGCACCTGAGAGAGCTAACTACATCACATCCATAGTCAAGAACAGGGAGCAACAATGAATGCCCGCTAGTGCCTATCCACTGCCTCTATTTTATGCAGTCCAGAATCCCCTGCCCGTGGAATGGTCCTGCCCACAATTAAAATGAGTCTGCCTACATCAGTTAATGGACTCAAGAGAATCCCCCATAAGCATAGCCAGAGGCCGTCTCCTTAGATTCTGACAAGTTGACAATTAACAGTGACCATCACAGACACTGGGAATGACTTTTACCCAGCCTTGTAACCAAAGTTAATCTTATGCTTTGAGATCATTTAACACTCAGCTTGTTCATAATGTACACAAGCTTACTAGGCCTTGGGTTCCTCTTATATTAAAAGTATAAACATATACCTTTAATCCCCCGTGAGCCTTCTTTGCCCCTGACCCAGAATAATGTAAATTATATATGTGAGTGTGTGTCGTGAAAATATCAAGGCTGCAAATGTGGACTATTCTTTGAAAGCAAAGAATTATGCCATTTATGTTGTAAAGAACAGATGAGATTAAATTAATAATATCTGTTTGTGGTT